GGAAATTATTCTGATTTCAACCGTTGCGTATATTAGCTGCGACATATGAATCAAGATGTTATTACCGAAAAAATTGATAGTTGATATATGATTGGCCGAATTTAGGTGTTCAGGCTGACGTAGAACTAACTGGCCTGCAGAAGATAACGAGAAAAACCCACAGATTTTACGTCAGGATTTTTTTTTTTTATATATATATATATTTTCTAACTTTTGGGACAATATCATCTGATAAAGAGTCAATTTCTATACATGTTTAGGCCAGAATGATTTGACGTCCAGATGAGCGCTGAACGTGTTTCTAATTTCCAGCTACTGTTTAACGGCATATTAGCAGTGTTTTGGTATAAGAGGAGTTTCACAAGAGAAAACCATTAGTTCTCCTCCAGACTTCATCCCCATCATAGGGCGAGAAAGAAGGTGAGTGTGATCGATCGTCCCTGCGTTCACGCCCACGGCCAACCAACTTCCTAGCAGACATGACGCTGAATCTGCTGCCACTGCAAACCTTCTTTCTCTCTTTTTCTTTATTTTCTTTTTTGGCTAGGTGGTAAACAGCAGCTAGGTTAATACCGCGATCAAATAAATCTTTTTATGCAGACCGGGCGCTTCCAGGCGCATCACTACCCCCCTCATGGGCATTACGCCGCCGTGCGTTGTGCATAAGTTAGGCTGTCGTTGACCATAAGTTCTGGACTCATTATACATATTCTATGTATACTTAGAATTAAAAAAACTATATAGAAAGTTCAGGGTATGCCAGCGTTTTAGAAGATTCTGGGACATTAGGCATACGCTGGATAAATCCTGCAAGGACAGCGCCCTTAGAAGCTACAAATTAGACATCGATTTTTTATATTTGATCACTGCTGCACTTTATTAAATGGAAATGCTTATTCCACTGCTAAGCTGCTGTTCATTTACTGTCTGAAAGCTGAACAAAACGACAATAAAAGTTGTTTATGTCTAACAGCAGCATTGATTCCTCCTGAGCTTCATTAAGCTTCTCTCTGATGACCATCGCTTCAGATTGAAAGGATTTATTCTGGACGATCGTTCTGATGCTGTTAGAGGCGGGTTGAAGTAGTTTAAACCATGTTGTGAGAATCTGCTGAGTATTTGACATGTTTTCATCACTTTATTGCGTCTTTTTTTGGAGAAGCAGAAGAAAGGAAGTGTGTTCCCCCTGCGATCAGTGAAAAAAACGTTCCCTCCAGCGGTTTCCAGCCACTGATTTTATTTTATGGAGCTTTCCTGAAGTTTTATCG